CATACCTGCATATACATATAGAGAGAGACATATATGTATCTACATACGTATATATACAGTGCCATGAAACGTGAAATCTTGCCATTTGTGACAACATGGGTGGACCTAGAGGGTGTCATGCTAAGTGCAACAAGTCAGATGGAGAAAGACAAGTACCATGTGGTTTCAGTTATGTGTGGAACCTAAAAAACAAAGCAAAGGAACAAACATAACAAAGCAGAAACAGACTCACAAATACAGAGAACAAACCGGTGCCTGTCAGAGGTGAGGGGTGGAGGGAGGAAGGAGATAGGCGAGGGAGATGAAGACCAAATAAATAAGGCACAAGGATGAAGTGTACAGTGCGGGGAATACAGTCAGCAACTAAGTGGTACCTTTGAATGGTGGCAGATCGTAATGGGACTTAATGTGATGATCATTTTGTAATGGATAATCAATTCCCTGTGTTAGACACCTGAAACCAACAAACTATTGTAAGTCAATTATACTTCAATAAAAATTTAAAAATAACGATAATAGACTGTTACGAGTTTCACCCTGCCTTTATTAACCCATTCAGGCAGTTATTGAGAATTGCCCCATCCCCCACCCCATCCCTGTCCAGACATTCTGCAAGGCAAGAGGTATTAACAGGGAACCAGGAAGGAACTCACTCTCTGCCTCTTGACTTTGTTTCTCAAAACCCAAGGATGGACTTTGTCACCATTTTGCCTGTTGCTTCTTAGAAGCATAGTCACAGCTGTGTCAGCAAAATCTCTCACCTCTCACCCCTTGTTCAATGTTCATAGAAAATTCCACAGTCTAGCACAGTGGAGTTCATTAGCTATTAGGTGGAACCATCTGACATTGCCATTTCTGCAGGTAAGAAACAGCTGAATATTGGCCATGTCACAGAGCTCACAGAGCTCAACCTGATATTCCTCAGCGCCCTGAAATCTCTTAAAAAGAGAATCACCCTTCATTCTGATAAATCATCCTGGATAGTTTGTGAGAAGGTGTTACCTGGGTCTCAGAAAAATAAAGCCTTTGGTCAGGGAGGAAGGGTATGCTCAGTGGCAGAGCGTGTGCTTAGCATACAGGAAGTCCCGGGTCAATCCTCAGAATCTCCATTAAAACAAATAAATAAATAAACCTAATTACCCCCCCAATTTTTTAAAATAAATAAAAAAGTCTAGAGAATAGATCAATAAATAAACGTGGCATGGCATCTATCCTGAGAAAAGTCTAATTCAAAAAGACACCTGCATCCCAGTGTTCAAAGCAGCACTATTTACAATAGCCAAGACATGGAAACAACCCAAATATCCATTGACAGATGACCGGATAAGGAAGCTGTGGTGCGTTTATACAGTGGAATACTACTCAGCCATAAAAAAGAATAAAATAATGCCATGTGCAGCAACATGAACCTGGAGATTGTCGTTGTAAGTGAAGTAAGCCAGAAAGAGAAAGAAAAATGCCATATGATATCACTTCTAAGTGAAATCTAAAAAAAAAAAGGACACAAATGAACTTACGTACAAAGCAGAAACAGACTCACAGACATAGAGAACAATCTTATGGTTACCGGAGGTTAAAGTGGGTGGGAAGGGATAAATTGGGAATTTGAAAATTGCACCTCTCGGGAAGTGATGGAACTGTTAGCTATGCTGATTGTGGTGGTGGTTTCATGGGTGAACACAGCTATCAAAATTCATCAAAGTGTACATCTAAAATATGCATAGTTTACTGTACAGGAATCATACCATAATAAAGGTGATAAATGAGTGAATGAATGAATGAATAAATAAATAAATAAATAAGGTATATACACACACTAGAATACTTCAGAAGAGCAGAAAGGAAAAAAAAAAAAAAGACAACATACCCAGCATGGATGAACAAAGAGGACAGACATGGCATTGAATGAAAGAAGCCAGTACAAAGAATTCAGGACTCAGTGTGCATGAAGACCCCGAACAGGTGAAACTATCTGACTGTGACAGAAGCCAGGAGCATCTTATGGTTCAGAAAGAGACAAGAGAAAACTTATGAAATGCTGAAGGTGCTCAATGTCTTGAACCATGTCTTGGTTGCAGGGGTTTAATCCTATGTCAACATCCATCAGCCGTAGACGGGATTGGTGCGCCGTCCCCGCACGTTACCTGGGTATGGATTTTATAGCCCGAGTGAAAAAGAAAAAAGAAAAGTCCATTCTACCAACCTCATAATACCGGTTAACACACTGCTTCAGCAGAGGCTCTGAAGGCAGGTCAAATCAGTCCGCCCCTAATAAGATATCTGACCTTTGATGATAGACTTAACCTCTCTAAGCCTTGGATTTCTTCTCTCTGGAAGGGAGATGCATGGTAACACCTACCTTGTAGAGTCCAGGGAAGAATTCAGTAAGATGGTGTTCACGAGGCACATGGCACTCACCCTGGACCCACCCCCCCGCCTAGCCGCGGCCCCCACATACCAGCAGAGCCTCCGGGAGGTTGTGCCCCTCCATGAAGGTGATGACGGCAGAGGTGATGCCCAGGGCGCTGAGCTCCAGCGTGGCGGTGCTGATGGTGTCGGCATCCTGGGCCCAGCCCGCCTGGAAGAACACGGCCACCTTCCTGAGCAGAAGGCCCGAGCGCACGCGCTTGAACAGGTGTCTTGCCACAAACCTCATGGCGCCCCCGAGGCTCCTGCTGCCGGAGGGCGCTGCCAGGGCCGCCTCCCTGAGTGCCCGCAGGAGCGCGGGCCTGCCCCGGTAGTCGGAGAAGCGAACCAGGTGGTCTGTTCTGTTGTTGTATGAGACCACGGCCACCCGGGCCCCCGTGGGGCAGTTACCCCCACTTATGTCCACCTTCATCAACAGAGAGACAACAATGTCTCTCATCCTCTCAAACTCCAGCTGGGAGACATCATTTGATGTGTCCAAGGCGAACACCAGGTCAGTTGGGAACGCTGGGCATCTGGAGACACCTAGACACATGGACACGCAGATTTGGGATTGTCTGTAAGGCCTCTCAACAGGGGAAGGCGGGCGTGAATAAGAAGAAATATTATTTACCTATTGAACAAGCTGGAAGGGGGATGATTTGGGAGAGAAGAGAAGATACTGTTAGTTACCACAGGCAACAGCGTGTTTGACACATGAGTGCTTTGGCTGAGAACCATCTCCTCTGAGACACTCGAGCCTCCCTGCCTCCTGCCTGAGTGTGGCAGAGACCTCAACTTGCTCCCCAATGCCCACTCTCCCTTTTTTCCAGAACAGAACCCCAGTCTCTGGCCAGGGGTCTGGCAGCCTGGAACAAAGACGATATTTCCCGGGGTGGGTAGCCAACTTACTTAGTTCTGGATAATAGAATCAGAAACCTGGCGGGCACAATGTTCTTCTCTTTTTCTTTCCTTTCCCTGCTGGCTGAAGCTTGATAGACATCTTGGACCACGAGGTGACTGGGAAAGAGCATCCTCGCCCCAATGGCAGAGCAAGAGAATACAGAGCCTGCCTCTCTGAGCACCGTGGAGTTCCAGCAGCCCTGACTGGCCCCGTCCAGGCTCTGACTTGGGAACTACGTTTGTGTCTGTGCTTCTGGGCACTGAGCTCACACTGTGCTCACCTTCAACCTAATACCATGAGCTACTCTGCAACTGTAGTCACACATACCCACGTACATACACACACACACCTTAAAGTACATACATACAATACAAAATACATTATATTATATTATGTGTGAGTGTGTGTACACAAGTTATTTTCATGGAAATAGCAGAAAGCAAAAAAATTAAAATCACCTTTAATTTATCATATGTATGTGCACATATGCACAGATATACTTTGTTGTTTTATTTTATAAAACTTGGAGCTCAGGGTATGTTCTATTCTGAATCTTTTTTTTTTCCACTTATTGTGTGATAAACATCTATTCTTTCCAACAATAAATTGAGAGTAAAGTCATCTGGTCTAACATGGACATCTCATAACTTCTTCCACCAGCATCCCTTACTGGAACGTGCGTCTATGCATATCTGTCCAGTTACAGCCCCATAAAAGTTCTGATAATGCTGATGTGCATTGCCTAATGGCTCTTCAGAAAATTTGTGCCAATGGACGTGCCTACATTTCTCAGCTTTGGATAGGGATTTTTTTCCCTTCATTTTAAAAATCTTTTCAATTTGAGCCACAAAAGAGTATCTCGTTTTAATTTGTATTTTTTGACTTCTCGTGAGGTCAAACAATGGCAAGTTTATTGTATTTTTTCTTTTCTGAATCCTCATTCATGTCTTTGGCCTGCTTTCAGTCTAAAAGACCTTTTTACATTTAGGTTTAGCAAATATGAAATCTCCATGTTTGTAGATGAAAATGGTTGAGTAGCAGCAAGTTTACATATTTCAACATGATAGGGTAAAGAAGTTAGGACCTTTGCCTGGGTTCATGGCTTGTAGTGCATATTTTTTCCCCTTTTTTCTGTTTGTTTTTGACTACACAGTGCTCTTGAATGCAAAAGGGGTTTAACTTTTTATACAGCCAACTCTGAGACTCTTTCCCTTGGTGGTCAAGATGATGGTATTATTCTTTATGATTTCAAGGAAAAAAGATTCCAGATCTCCTTGAACAGCAACTGGATGGGAATGGACAGAACGTGGAAGAGTTAGCATCTTACAGGGCAGGATGATAGTGGAGAAAATCCAGCTAAGCAATTTGCCAGATCAGCGTTCTCTCCCTGTTGCCAAAGAGCAGAGAAATGTGCATATTATAGGATGCAAATATCCCAGAGAACATTAAAGACAGTAAAGGAATTCCAATCTGGGAACGTGACAAGGCATTACTTAGAATTCAATGATTCATATTTCCATTTGTAAAACAAATGTTAACTCAAAAGGTCACATTTTGCAGAATAGATAAACAAGATTATACTGTGTAACACAGGGAAAAATATATAAGATCTTGTGGAAGCTCATAGTGAAAAAAAATGTAACAATGAATATATACATGTTCATGTGTGACTGAAAAATTGTGCTCTACACTAGAATTTGACACAACATTATAAAATATTACTCAATAAAAATAGTGAAAAAAAAAGATATGCAGAAGGTCACGGTCCTTACTAAAGGCTCTCTGTTAATCCCTCTTCTTTAAATGGAGGAAATAAAAGAACAGAGCTCCTCTCTGCCTGTCTTGTGATAAAGAAGTGCTGAGCTTCAGACATGCAGGTGCGTAATTGTCAGTGTGTTGCATGAAGCACGTATCATAATGGAATTTTTCTTCCTGCCTTTCACCCACATCATTTCTGAGACCACACTGGGGACGATGACTTACCCAAGGCGGGGACTGAGCTGAATGTTAATTTATAATAGCCTTTTATGATGGACCACCTCAGTCAAATCCCCAGATGACTTCTGTCCCCAGCCCACGATCCATCCCCACTTCACACCACTGGCTCCTTTGGAGCCTTTCCTGCACAACTTACGGCAGTTTTCTCGAGCAAGATGGATGATTTCGCAAGGCTGTGAGAAAGATGGAGAAAGACAGGAAACGGTATTTAATTTGAAGCATATCTCTCCTCACCCTCATGACTTAGAAATGCCATATGGATGTTATCAGTGCCTATCTTAAGCTTCTGAATCCACAAAAGGAAACCCAAAAGTTCTTACAGCAGATGGAACTCCCCAGAAGTTATCATTCTAGATCCAGTGGATATTTTAAAATATTTGTAGCATTTTATATGCAATAGAGTGCCCATATGATTAGAGACAGGCAGATGAGGGGACCTCTTTTTTTTCCCCTGAAGGAATCAAATCTGCTTTTGAAGAAGTTGAGTTCCAGGAACCTCAGCACAGAAGGCAGAGGAACGCCTTCAAGTCTTAGAGCTTGTGTAATAGTGATTCCTGTGACACTTCTTTAGAATGGCGGCCAAGACCCTCCAATCCCAACACCTCCCCTAGAATTCTGCTTCGTCCTCTCAATCCTGTTCTTCCCTTGACCTCACCACTTCTGGCTTCTCAAGTGCCCTGAGATCTGTCCCCGCCTCCCCCATAGGTACCTTGCTCCTGGGAGATGAAAAATCATCATAACTTTTGAGATTGGTTCCAGGTGGACCATAAGACAGAGTGGTCTGTACTACACTACGTGTTGACTTATAAATACTTTATAAGCAATTTTTGAACTTACAAAAAGGCTTTCTTTCTTTTTTTTTTTTTTCCACAGGGCTAGTAGCCTCAAAGTCTTTCATTTTACGTCAACTAGTGTTGCTTTAAAATATCCAGATTTAGATTCTTATTCTACACTTTAAATTATTTAAGATATTATTTCAGCATTTAAAATATTATTCTGCTCCTTTTATCTGATTTGGTCATAACCTACCAGAGCAAAGTCTATAAACTAAGAACTTGTAAAAGAAGAAACTAAGGAACCTTTACAGAGTTCCATTTTGTGAAAGTGGAAAACTCTGTGTTCTGAAAATAATCAAGTCTAGAATTCAAATCTTCACATACCGTCATATCTGCCAAACCTTGGGGGCCCTTGATGCCCTGGAAGGAACAGAAATGGGTTCAAAATGCAAGATTCTGGAATTCCAATACATTACGGTGAAGATGGGATCCAATTAAGTTTAAAAGCTTTTGCACAGCTAAGGAGCCCATCAGCAAAACTAAAAGACAACCTACAGAATGGGAGAGAATATTTGCAAATGATGTGACCAACAAGGGACTAATTTCCAAAACACACAAACAGCTCATACACCTTAATATCAAAGAAACAAGCAAACCAATCCAAAAATGGGCAGAAGACCTAAATAGACATCTCTCCAAAG